GAACATTCATATTTATATATTTGAAAACAAATGGAACAACATTTTCTAAGTTCCCAAGATGCGTTAAAACATTGTATATTAAAATAGCTCTAAGTGCAACTTTTTTGAAAAAATTTTGAAAAATTTTAATTTGACTTTTAAAGATCATAAAATTATCAATAACGATCGGTCCGATGTGGTATTTTAGAATTTTATAGGAATCATTTCGTTAAACATTTTCTCACTAATACACAACATCGATTTGCTTAGTTAAAAAATGAGTATTTGTATTACCCATTTACCCAATTATTTTCGCGGATCATCAAGTGAGTCAATACTTTTTTTAGGGGAGTGTATTTCGATTTTTTATAATTCAAGGAACAATCTTGGTTAAATCGGGTAGGTTTGTGTATACCAGAGTGATTTTTTTTCTTTGATTTTACATGCACAAAGATCATTAATTTTATATATGAGTGACACTTGACCCCCTGTATATCTGCAATGTCCTGCGACTGATATGTATATTATTATACAATACTTATTAGGTAATGGAAATCAGGATCAACTTTGAGCAGAAATTTCCACATCTATCTTTGGCACTGATATACATAATAAATTTATATATATGTGCGTTTTTTAAAGAATATTTTAAATTTATGCATAATATATGGCAAGCCAAAATGGACAAAAGGTCCTTTGAATTCAATGCTAGAAATTTTCAATGTAGCATCAAGAAAACGGCACACTCCATTTTTTTTTTCAATGCTACACACATCATTTTTTTAAAAATGCTATATACATTTGTTTTTTTATTTAATGCCACACACACTTTTATTCATCATTTCCTAAAAAATGCTTTTAAAATAATTTTACAAGTTATTAATAAATAAATAAAAAATAAAAAAATAAAAATAAAAATAAATTAATAAAATTAAAAATAAATAATAATAAAATAATTAAAATAGAAGTAAAAATTTAAATTGTCCCGGAATTAAGAGATTTGGCCAAAATATCTGCATCAATATTTAATTCCAGTAACAGTAATATTGGTAAAAATCTTAGCTTTGAAGTAAAAGGTAATGCTGTTCTTGAATAAGTATAGCTTGACATGGAGAGCCTCTATCAATATGGTAGGGGTTCATTAGAAAGCTATAATGTCATAGTTTATTTTTGATTAATAATGGTGTTTGAATTTGTTATAATAATAATGAGATATTTAAAAAACTTATTGGTTACACAAGTCTGTTTTTCTATTATGAGATAATCTAAAATTTTCACTAAGTCATGGTGATTTTGACTTGCTATATCCAGAGTTCAGTATAGCCGGGTTTGATATAGTCAACTGTATCAAAATTATTCTATTTCTTTAGGAAAATAATAAAAGTATTTTAAAAGTATACATCAATTATATAATAAATTTAATTTTTAACTAAACATAAAAAAAGGAGTATCATTTAAGGTGGGTACCAAGGTGAGGAAGCTACTGAAAGTTTTGCTTGTTTAATTTTAAAACATTTGATTTCTTCAGAACTCATCTCATTGAAAAAATCATGAATTTGTCCTACATCTGACTTATTCATTTCTGTTGTGTACTATGGGTGTTTCTGGCACAGAGTGCACTATTTGGTTCTTCAGACACCTGTTTCATACTTTTTTCGATAGCATTATTTTTTATATCATGTATATACAGAATATACTCCAGAGACCTCTTTCATACTAATTTCAATATCATTATTTTTTATAGGATATATGCTAAATTTACTATGTATTCTAATCCAAGAAAAAAAAGTTTTCATCAAGTAGTTAACAGGAGAGCAAGTAAAATGAGCAAGATGTGCATAGCATGTCTATAATGAAACTAGAAAACTAATAAATTGATAAAATTTTCAAATTAAATATTTCTGCTATCTATATAAAAAGAAATCAAAAAATGTTTGCATATATAATTCAAGCATATCACTATATTGCAAAAGCAATTTCTTATCTAGATGATAGCAAAGACCCATTTGAGACCAGAGACCTAGTAGAGGTAAGAGAGATCATAGAATATGTAGAAATTAATCCTCTAGCATTTAAGTTACCATCAGAACTAATTGGTCAAATTATAAAGCAAATCAAAGATCCCAAAAAAATTACAAATGTAATGCTAGTAAGCAAAACATGGTATAAAGAGGGAAGATGACAATTATATATTGATCGAGATGACATAATGGAATAGTTGAGATTAAAAAGGATCAATAAATTGGATAGCTTTATAAGATGTCAAAATCTTGATAGGTTAGATGTAGTGTTCCATGTTGCAATCCAAAAAATGAAACTAAAGTGGTCGCAAACCATTTTTATATGTTGCAAATATGGTTGCAACCATCACCAAGAATTGTGACCAGCATCTATAGTTAGACAAATATGTAAGAATAATTAAAAAGTTTAAGAAAATTCATGATGAATTAAATGAATCGTATTTGATTGAAGTGAACAATTATTTAGAAGCAAGGAGTAATCTTCCAGATATAATTGAAGATGATGACAGTTATGAGGATTATGTAGATTATGATGATTATGAGGATTATGAGCGTTATCAAGAATTGGATGAGCCAACCAAACTATTATTTAATGACATGAAAAAAAAATTATATAAACTTGAAAAAGTTAGAGAAGATATTGGTCAAATATGTAATGAAATATCAAGTTTTAAAAGGTTTGTAGATGAAAATACATCTCATTTCATAATCATCAACGCCATAAATTAATAAAATTTTCAAATTACATTTCTGCTATATAGTGGTTTGAAAACAGCATGTTTTAATAGTATTATGAACTTTCAATCACTAAGGCTTCTGGAAAATCGTTACATTTATAAAATAATTAGAGGTTTTTGATCAGGATACATTTGTAGAACAGTGCTATGGAGAGAGAATCTTTATTTCATACAATTTTTTCAGAAGTTGCAATAGATAGTAGTATTACAATAAAGAAAGAAATTTTCTGTATTTTGAAGCATCAGGAAAACATGTTTTTTGATACACATTTTCCTGATGAATGAGTTTTTTACACCACTGATATTTTTAATCCATTAAATCTTTCCATAGCTCTAAAGTATAATGTATATACTACCTTTTATGGAAATTTAATGCCTATATCTTTGAAAACAGAGGAGGAGTAGTGTTTTGAAAACAATATGTTTACTATGTTCTTTATGTAAATTTTGGAAATTCTGTAAGTGATATGCAGATCACAAAAAAAAATCACATATAACCAATCAATATATGACATTAATTAGTTTGGATTTTCTTAGAATGTCGCACACCCCAATAATTGATTGTGAATAAAAAAAACAAATTGAATGAATATATAAAAACAAGTAGATATAACTCTAAAATTTCAAGCACATACTTTTGTTTGTTGTAGTATCTAACAAGGTAATTCAGAGTTAATTCAGGACAAACTTAGAAGATGGAATAAAAATAACCAAAGAGAAATAAGTTAACTAATGTTGTAAACAGTATACAATATTCTCACAAACAAACAAATAAATGAATGAATGAAAAATATTTTTTTTTATGCAATTTGTTCATTACCTTTCCCTCCATGTAACATTTCTTCATACAATGCCCACCTAACTTCCTTTTCCTTCACCAATCTTGCCTTTTCTTCCTTTAATTCATCCATCTCCCATATCTCTTTAAAATCCCTCAAGTTCTCCTCCTTCATAAACTCCTCCAACTTCCATTTTGCTTCTTTGTATTCTCTTACAACTTCTAATTGGTTTTCACTTCCTTGAAAGTTGTCATTTTTTAAAAATAAAAAAAAAAGATTCAAAACTCAAACAATGTTTTTTATTGATAAGCAATGCAATATGATGATCATTAATTAAGTTTGCATAAAGGAGAATTTTCTTTGTAGTAATAGTCAGTAAAAAAAATTGTAATAATAAGATTATTTTCTTTCTAAGGGTTCCTGCTTTTTGTTAGGTAATAGCACACTTTTATTTTGTTTTCTTTTTCTAACATTTATGATTTTTCTTTCTTCTTGGTAAATTTCATAAGTAATCCTTTCTTTTTTTAGATAAGCTTCCGGTGTCTTGGTATCATTTATTTTAAAAACATAAGGAGCAATTTTTTCATCTTGTTCCTTCTTCAAAATACTTCTAATGATGCTATAATTCTTGGGTTCCATGGTAAACCTGATGTAAATGAGTTTCATGTTATTATTTTGTATAGGGATAGTTCTATATATCACTTAAAATAACAAATGGGATATTATAAAACTGTTAATTATGATCACATTACAAATGGCTAAATTTTGATCCCTGAAATTCTTGGTAACACCAATGTTCACTTTGTCTGGTTTTTTTGCAGCATGCCCCAATTTATTTTTACATGGAATTCAGAGTTCTTTTGTACATTTTGTTTAATTATAAGTGATTCCATCATTGATACCCTATTTTGTCTAGACATTGTATATAAATAATAAAATAAAAACACAAATTTCATCTTTGAATATCTTTACCCAAATTGGTAACAATCAATGTTTATATATAGAATGTAAATAATACAGTACCATGGATAATAAGGAAGAACAAGTCACTACTGTTATAATGACATTGAATTTTATTTATTTACAAAAAATAAGATGTTAAATTCACACAATCTATTACTATGAAAGGGATTTTTGCAAAAAAATTTGTAAACCAATATTTTTGCACAATTCTAATTTCCTTATTTTTTATAATGTGTTTTTATCTCACATCACATTTTTTTATGTATAAAAAATATAATTTAACAGCTAAAAACAGGTTTGTTTATTATTATTATGTTTAAAAATTAATGTCAAAAAATGTTTGTGCGCAATCAATGATTTTGTGTAATTGTTAATTTAGTAATGATATTCAGCCCAATCAAAATTCTTTTTTACGTGATAAAATCAAAATGTGATTGATGCAAATCATTACCAAATATGCAAATGTCCGCTATGCTGTCCATTATGCTATCAGTTACATGGACGAAATTTACACACTGGTCAACGCTTTTTTATATAGCAGTCAAACGATATGTCACAGGAAGTGTAATTACATATATAAAATAGAAAATCAGACTCGTGTAACAAATTAGTTTTTTAAAATATCTCATTATTTTTATAACAAATACAAACATCATTATTAACCAAAAATAAAACTATGGCATTATAGCTTTCTAATGAGCCCTCTCCCATATTGATAGAGGCTCTCTATGTTAAGCTATGTTTATTCAAAAACAGCATTACTTTTTATTTCAAAGCTAAGATTTTTTGCCAATATTACCTTTATAAACTTGGTGAGTGGTTGAAAAGATGTAAAATATTGTAATTTTTCATATAGGTATAGCTTTATGTGTATTGTTGTTTATTAAAGTTTAGTGAAAATGGCAAAAAACTCCAAAAAACATTAAATTTTGATAAATTTTATTTATCAATACACAAAAAGGAAAAAATGTAGGCAGGAGATTATCAGGGAATAATGACCAAAAATAGATAATTAATTTCCGAATGCGGTAATTTGGTCGACAAACTTTAACACCAAGATTTTTTACTATTTTATTGATAATCTCTCCTAATTTTTTTAAAAAAGAAGGAATAAGTCTTAAAAAATCTGTGTCTCAAAGAGATTGCTGAGCAAAAAAGGGTTAAAATTAAGGTTTGTGGCTAATTTTATTAATAGAATTTCGACGTTGATCACCAAAAAATTTCGGAAAATACACTTCCCAATCGTTTAATGTGACAAATCGTTCGACTAATAGTAAACTAGTACAAATTTGGAAACTATCCACTCCACCTGAATATTTATTCATTTTTTCTGCATGATTAAAAGAATTTTTGATTTTATTTTTTTACAAAAATAGAATGAATTAATTTTCAAATAATTGAATTGTTTAATTAATTGAGATTTGAAGAGATTTCTAAAAATATATATTGAAATTTTATTTTGGCATGTATCACTTTATACAACATTATTAATATTAACAATGTGTAATTAATTCCACACGATTATTAATAATTGTTTTTATAATACAAAGATCCCAATATTATAATAATTATAATATATTAATAGTAAATAATAAATATTATAAAAATATTATATCTTTCAATTCTTTTTTAACTTTTTTAATTTTTGAAAATTTTTGAAAAAAAAAACAAGAAAAAAAAATGGAATCTAATCCAACAACTAAAACAACAAATTCTTCCGCATCACAACATTCACCTTCATCCTTGCCCCAATCCACACAACCATCATTATTATCCGCAACATCAATAATAATAAATCGAAGAAAAATTTTTTTTGGTATTTGTAAAGGATGTAATGAACCAAAATCAAGATTTTATAATGATGATAATAATAATGATTATGATGATGATGATGATGATATTCAATATCAATGTGATAATTGTGAAGAATGGTTTCGACAAAAACAATCTGAATTAAAAAAAATTCAAAATATAATCAAAAAACGTAGAAAAAGAATTCAACAACAACAACGAGGACAAATTTGTGATAGTTGTGATCAACAAAATCATTTTCATAAAGAAATCATTGCATGTAGTGAGTGTGGGTATCCTGAACCAAAAGTTGATAATTTATATCATATTGCTGTGGAAGTAATTGATGAGAGCGACGAGGACGAGGAGGATGACGACGAAAACGAGAAAGATGAAAAACAAGAGAAAGAAATGGAGTTTAGCAAATGTCCAAGGTGTAACAAATTATTAAAAAAGTTTTTGAAATGTCCGGATTACAATGAAATTATTGAAAATATAAATTTAGAATTGAATAAAATGGATATTAACGATCAAGATTATGAGAAACTAATAGAAATTAAAGAAGTTAGTAATATTAACATTTGTTTGTTTTATTTTTTATTGGGAAAAGATGTTAACAAAACATTATTTATTTGATTTTTTTTTTCAGCATTACGAGAATCTGTTAGAACAACAAGAAGACGAAGAAGACCAATGGACAACCGAAGAAGAAGTTGATGACGACGATTATGATTATGAGGATATTGGTAGTGATAACAAAAAAAATAATGGAGAAAATGACGTATACGAAGTATATAAAACTTATAATAATCGATATTCAAGAGTTTATGATATTGCAAGATTAAGCATATTGGGTTCATTGAATGATATGTAATTAAAAATTGGTGAGAATGGAAGAAGAAAAGCGAGCATAGATGTAAATTTATTAAATTCCTCGCTCATAACATGACACTACAATTAAAAATAGCATTATGAGGACTCTGAAAAATCCATAGGTTACTGCCGCACCTAGGTTAAATTCATATTAATAAATTAATTAAAATTTTTCGTTAGATATTTTGATAGGGTAAATAAATTATTACAAAAATACAAATGTAACAATCATTAATTGTCAATAAAAAAATGTTGGTTGTTTGAATTCATTGACACAAAAATTAAATAAAATATTCATTAGGCTTTTTCATACGATTATTTATTTTGCTAATTACTTGCCTTCGATAAATCTTATATTTTTTAATAGTGCTGTATGGATTATCGAATTTATTTATTATTATTATATTCAAAACACCCATTATTCCCTGTCGAATAAAAGGTTAATTTATTATAAATTAAAAATAATTAAAAAAATATATACACAATTTAATTTTGTTATCATATTTTTTAATAGTACTGTATGGATTATCGAATTTATTTATTATTATTATATTCAAAACACCCATTATTCCCTGTCAAATAAAAGGTTAATTTATTATAAATTAAATAATTAAAAATATATATACACAATTTATTTTTGTTATCATATTTTTTAATAAAGTGTTTCAAGCTAGTTTATTTGTTTTCGAACAAACACAAGATATGTCGAAGGAATTTTCTAGTTTTTTTTTATATTAATATGGACGATCCAAAGAATTTAACTTTTTGGGGCTCGAACTCCACTCACTTTTTCAATCATTGGTTAAAAACTTTCAAGAATTCAAAGAAATTTGTGACCAATGAAATACAAGTTTCACAATTTTAACATGTAGAGAATGAACCTACCCTTAAAAGTAAACTTGATCAAATTCTGTTCTTTTTGCGATGTTATTTCAAGCCCTTAGGGTCAAAATATATTAAACTTAATTTTGGCGGAACGTTTGTTTCATGCAGGATGGATGGAATAAGCGTCTTAATTCAAAAATATTAACGATAGTCTTCATTTCTTTGAGAATCTACGACATTATGATCATAATTGGTGAAAATAATATCTTTCTTTTTTAATTTCTTTCTTCCGTGATTAAACACGTCAAATATAACCATAACCCAGTGTAAATGCTGCTAGCATTTGAAATCAACAAAGATATCAAATCAATCAATCATATTTATTTATTATTTATTTATTTATTTATTTATTTACTTATTTACTTATTTATTACACAAGAATAGATTCCTATTTCCAAATCCTGAGAGTAAGGACGAACAAAATATTCATCTTTATATACAACAAAACGTCTTTTCTATATATATTCACAAAATATTTTATTCAATTATTTAAAGCAACACCAATATTACAACTGTATATATGGCCTGTGAAGTATTTTTCCAATGATAACCTATTGTTATGTTGCACTGACATTTAAGTTGCGTCTAGATAGGGAAAAATATGTACAGTTTAAATTTATTTATTTTTTGTAATTTTGAAAAAAAATGAACAAATTAAAGTTCAAAAATTTCAAGAAAAAACTCTACCCAATTTAATATATCAATTGCTCTCATTGATGCTACAAAAGTTCCACATAGAGCATAAACGATGAGAAAATTTACGTAAGAATAATAAATAATAAATGAATGATATTCATACAATATCGTACATTATTATTAAAAAATAATAATAATAATTAATAATAAATAATAACGCATGTAATAAATTACGACATTTTTGTCGAGATATTCTTAAATCCGTAAAATAAATTTAATTAATAAAAAAACAAATAGTCAATTAGTAAAATATAAATAAAATATTTATTAGTTAAAAAAAAAATACTCAATTAAGCTAAACGAATTGATATTAATTCTGACGATGCACAAAAATAAATAAATAAATATAGATTTGTTTTTCCACAAAAACAAAAAACATTAATTTTTTCACAAAAAAAAAATTTAAAATATAATTCAATTCGAATCAAAAAAAGATTTCCTTTTTTTTTTTTACTTTTTTTTAAAAAAAAACCCCAACAATTCATGAAATCATTAAAGTTTTTACAACTAAAAAATCGGAACTCAGGAAGTCGACAAAGTACTGGCGCTATTAGTAGTAACAATAATATAAATAGCACTAGACAAAATTTTGCCTTTTTTCGTTCACAGGATGAAGGTATATCGAATATTCCACAACCATCAAAATCATCATCAAAAACACCGACAAAAAAATCATCGTTATCAAAACGGTCATCAAAACCGTCATCATCACCACCCACAAACAACACAACTACCACCTCAACTTCACCAACTTCACCAAACATTAACAACACTACTAGCAACAACGCAACCACTAATACCAATACCAACACCAGCAGAAACTCTACAAATAGTAAACATAATAGTAAGGATGGTAAGGATATAACTTCAACATTAAAAACTTATTTGACAAAAAAAAAGCAAAGGTCTAGTCATCATCTTAATAATAACGGAGATGCTGAAACACGTGCATCAGTTGTCGAACCTTTAACAATAATACACGGTTTAAAAGAGGAAATACAACAACGCGAGACGACATTGGAATCCTTGGAAAAGAAACTAAAGGGTTTGGAGTCGCAAAAAGAAAAGGCCTTATCAGAATTGGAGAAAGCACAAAAGCAATTAAAAGATAATAGTCATGAAATCACAGATCTCAAAAGTTCACTAGTGGAACGTGACCAGAAAATAAATAAGTTGACGAAGATGGCAGAAAAAACCAAAAAAGAGAAGGACAACTTAATAAATGAGTTGGACAAAATAAAATCTGAATTAAAAGTGCGTGAGAAAGAAATAAGAGATTTGAATTTTTCATTGTTGGAATGCGCTCATGAATTACAAACAGTTAAAACTGACCTAGACTCAATAATGGAAGAAAGAGATTTGGCAGTGTTAGAACTGCAAGATCAATCATCAGACCGCGAGAAATTAGTACAATCACACAAAAGTCAATTACAACTGATGAAAAAAGAACTTGAGATAATTCAATATGATCTAGAGAGTACACAGTTAGAACTTGAAAATACTCAATTAAAATACAATGCAGAAGCAGAAGCAACACAAGCAATGTGTTCAGCAGAAGTAGAGGCAACCAAAGCCAAATTTGCAGCAGAAATAGGAGTGATCAAGGCCAAATATTCAGCAGAACTTCATGCCACCAAGGAAGAGCATGCAGATGAATTAGAAGCCACAAAAGCACACCTTTCCTTTTTTAAATCACAACTTGATTCAACAAAAGCACAACTTTCCTTTACAAAATCCAAACTTGAATGGGCAAGAGCTGATTTATCATCAATAAAATCCCTGCTGGATGCAACTAAAGCAGAACTTTCCACATCAAATAATAAATTAAAGAGGACAACGGCAGAGTTGATAGCCACCAGAGCTGAGGTTGACGAATACGTTGAAATTATTGGTTATAAAGATGGATTGACATCATATATAATAGAGGTTTATCAAGAAGACATAAAATCTGAGAAAGATAGGTTATCTGAAGAGATAGAAGAAAAACAAGAACAATTAAATAAAATTAAATCTACATCTGACAAAGAAAAAAAATCAAATATAAAGACCATTAAACAATTAACAAACCAAGTTCAAAATCTAACGAATTCACAAGGTACGTTGTATGAGCATTTATGTAGTATTAATTTTGTGTAACATCACAAATATACTAACTAATTTTGAATTTATTATTTATTGAACCAGTTCAAGAAAAAGCAAAAATATATCAGCTCGAAAGCGAGAACGCAAAATTAAAAAAACAAATTAGTCAATCAAAAGCACAAGGTAAATAATATTCTTACATATAGTTTTGCAATGATAAATAACTTTTCTAATCATTATCCTAAACTTTTGTTTATATAGCAAATGAACAAGAGTTATTGAAAGAAGAGTTAGCTCGTCTACAATCAGAATTAATCTCAATAAAATTAATTGGATCAGGAATAAAAGGACAACAACAACTGCAGAAGAAACAACAACAAGATAAGCTTGCACTATTGAATAATGATTTGTCAACATCAAGCTTTAAACATATAATAGCACCGTTTTCACCACCTGAATCACCATCTAATTCCAGACCAAGTAGTGATTTATTTTCAGATATTGATAGTCCTGTAACATCAACCCATGAGAATAATGTAAACTCAACTATGATTGCAAATGCTAATGGCGATTGGGTCACGGTAAAGAAACGTGGCAGTAAAAAACAACAAAGAGGAAACACCACAATTAGAACTAACGGTCGTGGTGGCGGTAGAGGTGGTGGTAGAAGAGTGAGCAGCGGAAGTAGTAATGGTGGTTATTCCTACTAATAGTAACGATAAAGGTTTTTGGTTAGTATCATGTTGTTCTTAACTTTAGGAGTAAATAATTATTTTAATAAAATGTTAATGTCTAATAAGTTTATTTTTATAATTTTTATAGAGTAAATATTTATTATTTATTAATGGCAAAATTACAAGAATAATTGTACAAAAGCTTTAGTTATATTCAATTATTATCCTCACCATAGTCATCATCATCATCATCATCATCATCATCATCATCATCATCATCATCATCATCATCATCATCATCATCATCATCATCGCGGTCATTATAGACACTATTTGTATTTATATTTTTTTTTATTTCTAGAAAAGTGCTACAGGAATAAACATTTTTTTTAAATTTTTCCAGACTTTAATCTTTTATAATAATATTAATAATAATAATACTAATAATAATAATAATAATAATAATAATAATAATAATTTCATTTTTTTGCACATTTTTCATTTTTAATATTTCATTCATTATTATTATAAATTAATATTATATATATCTTATTTATTTATTTATTTATTTATTTATTTATTCTGTATAATTTATTTTTTTTAAAATTTTTTTTTACTGTTTTTTTTAATGAAAAAAAAAAAGTCAACAATCCCTTTAGCAAAA